GCACCATCCACAATCCATATCTATATTGTTCTCACAAATTGTAAGAGCATAAGAACCAACAGATGGATAGTAAAATATTTCTCCTCGTACACTTTAACAGCTAATATAAAATTTTTGATGCACATAATTACTGCAAAATGTAAGTTACCTGACCATCTGAACCAGCAGAGAACACTCTATTATGGCTAGGAGATGCTGCAAGGGCATTCACATCACCCTTGTGACAAGAATGTGCCTGCAACAGAGTTCCAAACTGACTATCCCAAAACTGCACACTGCCAGAACTATCGGCGCTTATGAGAGTCCCACATCTGAATCCAACAAAATGCAATATAAAACAGCATGGAAAAGCAGAAACTTCTGATGATTTCAATACTAAGGTAACATGAGCCCAAATATCGATATACAGGTGTTACCAAGTGGGTGAAATGAACAGAACTTTTACCTAAGTGCAAGTAATGACAAAACGCAAATCTCAGGTCCACTACCCAGACCTCCAAGCCCAACGGTTATTCTATAAATCTCATGAGCCAGTTTAGCATCCCAGCATCTTATGAACCTGGGAAACCAAAAAAATCTCAAAAACTTTAAAATAATTATATTTAAACCAACATAAGCTTTAATCCATAGAAATCATTGTTTATTATCACATCCAATAGAATTTAATAAACTCAAGTTTCATGCATATGGTTCATCTAAGACATACCCATCACTGCTCCCAGAATATATCCTACATGCGTCAGGACTCCAGGTTACACTTAATGCTCGTCCTGCAAGTTAAAGAGAAATGATCAAACCAGTTCTATACAACTAAACATAAAAAGGAAAAAAAGTATCGTAACAAGCTGATGAAGCTGTCTCACCATTAACCCTTGGCAATGTTATATTATAAGTAAGTTCTTCCGAGTCAGATATGTTGTATATTCGTACACATCCATCATCACAAGCAACTGCTAGACGTGTATATTCAGTGCCATGGTCGTCATGAATTTCAACCTGATCATTATCGTCATTGTCTTGTTCGCTATCACCATTCTCATCATCCTCGCCACCATTAAGTCTAGGATTAGCATGGCCATTTTCATAAACCTTCATTTTCTTCTTTACATTGAACTGTGAATTATTACATGGTTCTGCAGCCATCTGCCATATCGAGACGCCAATAGAATCTAGAACCGTCTGCAGAAGAACATATCAAAGAAGCAAAAATTCATGAAAATTATGTACTCAAATACAAAAATTCTTTAAAATCATTGTTTATAAAGTAATGCAATTCAACCTAAGCATTTGAATAAGTAAATGCACCTTTTGTTTCAAATCATAAAGGTCCCACTCAGAAACCGATCCATCAATGCTAGAAGATATCAACCGGCCAAATGACGAGCCTCTCGGCCCCGATGGACACCACACCAACGACGACATTCTCGAATTAGGGTCCCCATGAATTGTCTAAACATAGAAACCCAAAAACATTAGCTCTCAGATTCTTTTCTAAAAACCAATAAAAAACAATTTTCTGATTAGAAATTGTTAAAAGATTTCATATTTCGGCTTACAAGCTGACAGTTCCATCCAACAGAGCCGGGTGAGACGAGCCAAATCTCGAGCGAACCATCTCCACGAGCGGCGGCCACTTGGGAGCCGTCCGCGCTAGTGGCTAGGGCTACAACAGGGGATGGATTCCACTCCATTGAGCTGCTCCGATAAACCTTTACCATCTCCTTTGTGAATATATTAATTTACTTCTTCTGATTGATGGGCACGAAGTGTGTAGTGTGCCGAGAAGCAAAGGACGAAGTAGAGCATTTGGGAGAGGGAACAGAAAAAAGGGGCAAATACGATGGAGAAAACGGACTTAGGTTTTTCAGGGTTTAAGCGACTGCGGTTTGAACCGGGTTGGTACTAATATAGAACCGGACGAGTTGATTCATCAAATTTCCTCTTTTGGGAGTCGGACATGGTTTTTAAGACTTCCGGGACAAAATCCGTAAATCATGCATAAATGGTGATATTTTATTTTTAATTATATATTTCTATGGAGTCATAAGTAGAGCGTCAAACTGGTTGAGTGGCTCGTCGGTTCGACCACACAGCTTGTAAAAACGAAGTTTGCGAACGACTCGTCTTGGCATATGCTCTTAGCTTTTTACTTTTTTACTCCACATCTCTAATTTATCATTGTAAGAGTATTTTCAAATGACTATTTATAAAAAAATGTTATAAATTATAAAGGCATCTTTAAATTTAGAGTAAAAAAAATTATGGACTCCGACAATGTTCTCTATTTTAGTTCTTTATTTTGTTTTTCATAAACATTTATGATTTCTTCTTATATTTTAATTTTGCATAATTTTTATATGTCAATGGTTAATCAATTTTAAATGTGTTTGAATAGTTTAAGAAGTAGAATATTAAAATTTGTGATTTATTAAATGTAATTATTGTACATTAAGAATTGAGAGTGGGTTTGATTCGCTAAATTTGGAAATTTAAATCCACTCTTTATTTTGAAAAGTTAAAATGGAATCTTTTGAAACTTATTTTTAAGCATTGATTTTTTAAAATAGAAAGTATTTTATATTTAGTCTCTTGGACATGCTCTAATTGACGTATGGTAATAACGTTTTTGCAATTTTATATTTCTTTAGAGATGTAATAAATGATGTCACAATTTTTCAACCATAGTTGGATGCATGATACGTGACGCAAAATGTCATTATGGAGATTGAAATGGAATATGATGGTCTTAAAGATGATTGGTACAAAATCTCCTTGACTTTTATTCCTATTGTGGAATATCTCTCTCTTTTTATTTTGATGAAAAATCTCCATATATAGCTTTTTCTGTGCGAAAGATCCCCAACTGCCCAAATTCATTAGTGGAGCTGTTAATTAACTCCACTTAAGGGAGCAAAAATGAATAATTCGTTAAAAGGTGTTCATTGTATGTTCTTTTCCCAAGGTGACAATTTAGAGCCGTTTGATCCAAAAATAGAACGTACCTTTAGACGCAAACTCAAAGAACAACAAAAATAGAAACATCGGATGGCTGACAATCAAAATAGTTAGATACAACAAATTGAACAAGTAGCTACGAAAGTAGCGATTCCTATGGATCAACAACATGAGCAAGTGGACATAAATGAAGAGACTTGCGAATCTCAAAGTTTATGGTGCCTATAGCAGCACCCGCGCCTTCCAGTATAGTTCATCCAAATTTTGAGGTGAATAACTTTCAGATGAGGACGAATTGGATCAACTTGACTAGCAATGCTCCAATTTTACGGTTTAGCTCATGAAAATCCGAACATATATTTTTTTATTCCTCAGAAATTATCAAAATTTTCATACTCAAGGGTTAATAAAGACGCTATTAAGCTACAATTATTTCCTTATACATTGCAAAACGCAACATGAGAATGGTCAGGTGTTGAACC